AAATATGCACTCATTTCTTCTGCGAAATTTCCCTATCGTTGATATATCTATTTTTTCTTCAATCGTAACGGGCACATTTCATCACAACCCTCACGTAACTCGGTCAATATTGATTTTGTATCGGTTTTATTATTCTTTGAGTCATAGTTGCGTGCATAACCACTCGACCAAAACTATTGAGAAAATCCGGAACAGTGTGTCACGGGAGTGGATAGCGATGCTATAATATTATGAACGGTGATTTGTGAGACTAAAGCAACGGGAAATGCGAAATGTGAAAGAAAAAATAGACTGTTTACAATAACATTTTTTTCGAAACACTGGACATAATTTTTTTTTTACTGTGGATCAATTACTATTGATCGTGTTTTTAACTAATGTTTATTGTTTTAATTCTTCTCCATTGATTGTGCATAAAAATGTATAATCAATTATCAGGAAACGGGGTTGTGGTGAGTCTAATCTACTAGATGACGCAAACCACGGGGCGATACGCTGCAGTTTCCGAACAACTGTGATTAATCAAGCTTCCCACATGATACCAGCAAAGCGTCTACGCATTACAGTTTCTGGACTACAAACCATAGACCGATTGTATCGATCAGTCATAAACAGTGCTGCCCAGGTAAAAGTTGAACAACGCCAGAAATACTAGCGCGCGGTTGGCAGAGGCTTGTACATATTATTTAATCTCCTGATTTCTCTCAATAAACGAACTACTAATCTTGTGGCCCCTTTCTGGCATTTCGGCTACGTGGGATACTGCAGTGCAAGTGCCAGAGTAACTAATTGCTCCGTGGTGTCTGTGGTTTCTAATAATTGATTCGTATTTCGTGATCAGTGCGTACTACAATTAGTACTGGGGTTCTGGCCATAAAAAGGCTGTCTGGGGAAATATCGAATAAGGGGAGATGGACGGCGGTAGTGTGGTTCGAACTCAGGAATACCAGATCGCTACTTTTATGACTTTAACCTCTCGACTAGCACTGTCTTGCTTGGTCAGTGTTATTGGTGGTGTTGCACTTGAAGCTATACCTTCAATGACCAATATTCTGGTTATATTGAGTGACTAATTTTAGTGGGCATTTAATGTGAATTGGTAGTCGTTGCAAACTCTTAATCTGGTAGATTTGAAGCCGGTTGTGCGGTGCTGTTTATTCTCTTATTAAAACTAACAACAAAAAAATAAGTTCAAAATCTCAGCTACATCTTTTCTCAAAATGGTGAAATATTTATCCGTTTGCCATTACGTTAGTGGATGACGCGGTTGACATTTATCTCTCACGGTGATCTCTCTCTCTCTGTTCTAATAGCTTGCAATTTTGGGAACGATACTTTTACTGATCCCCGCAGCATTCAGTCATACACATGTCGGGATGATCCGATGCATATTGCACAAGTCTGTATCCATTTGCTGACAGGAGACGGTGAATGACAAAAGAACTAATGAATTTATTTCTTTTATCGCTAAAAGGATTAATGTACATCCATGTAGCCAAATAAAACATTATTTTTCCTGTATTTGACCTAAAAAAATGAGATTTTATCGGTAAATATTATTAAAAATCCATGTTTTGTTTTTTTTTGCCTGCCTCGGGGGGGAGTGAAAATTTGTTTTTCATACCCGACATATGGGGCACGGAATATGTGATTCGTCTGTATTGTTATTCCTCATCAAGATTGGCTATTTCCCGTCCCAATCGGCACATGACACGGAACCAGATGTGCGCGGAATACGCGTAAACAATGCCCATAAATGTTCCCTCCCGTACGGTAATTTATATCGTCAATTTCACTAGTTTGGATGGAAGGTTTTACAGAACAAATGGGATCTCGTGTAATTGGAACCAAAACACGATCATTGATTAGTGAACTAATCGTATTGGTCATAGAACTCAAGGGTATCCACCGCCTCTGACCTATCTATGACCATTCTATGACCACCAACGTAGTATATTTATTATCACACCGCCTACCGCGTGGGGTAGAGGCTCGCTAACCGAACGCTCTGTTCCGGTAAGAGATAGGCCGCCAAAAACATCGAGTGTTTTGATTTACGCCAACGGTCATGAACGTGCCACACACACACACAGTCAAGCGGTACGCAGTCGCAGTAACAGTCTGCACCCTTTACACTACAAAACAAAAATGATCAGTAAAAGCAACCTATAAAGCTAGACCGAGATCTGTTTTGAACGAAAGAGTAATTCAGGCAAAGTGTTCCTGGTGTCATCGAACAATTACTTGTGTTGTAAGGTACTGCTGACATTTGTGAGTAGTACGGTTCAGGTGTGAAAAAGAATGGGATTAGTGGTTGCTCACAAGAGTCAAAAATGAATAAGCTCCCTTGAAAAGAATAAATCTGCCTCAAATACTGTAACTGCAGACAATGGAACATCAAATAATGAACAGTTCCATCGAATAATCTGCTTGCTTGTGGAAATTATGATCGGTCTATTCCAGATGAGAAGTTCTGTTCTTTGCACGTGAATTTCTCGATACCCATACGGAGGTTCCTTATAAATAACTCTCCTCGACTAGCACTAGATATGCGGATTATAACAATTGTATTAGAATCACGCGAAGACGCATCACTCTCCACACTGTTAGGTAGAAACAAAACGAGCTCGGGACAGAGATTATTCAACTCGAAAATGTGCACATAAGCATCACAAACCTCTACTACTCAGTGGTCTGATCACGCGTAATGTTCACTTTCACATATTGAGCAGACCAGTTAGCATGTGTAATCACACAACTCACCCGACTGTTGAAGATTGCACGATTCTGATTGGTTGCCGGAAAACGATATTGCAATGCATGCATAAGGCTATCCGGTCATGCCACAAAATTCCTGTATTCACTTGGTCAAAGAAGATTTGTCAGAGATTTGAACAGTACTGCACATTGACATGCCCGTCAGATAAAATGAAGAATCGATGAATTTATTGCCATCCATCATTAACAAACCAGTACTTGATATATTGTTTTGATTCATTTTTTGAACAAACTGAGTTCAAATATTTGCGGATGATTGATGCGACCTGTTACACTTTGGCTGGGCCAAGTTCGAGACCGGGGGTGGGTGAGTGGGAAGGGGGGCAAGGTTAGGTGTAGAGTTTTACATAGCCATGATGGTCGATTAGAACAATTGGTTAAGCTTCATAGATCACTTTGGTTCGGGTATGTGTTACGCAGGTTGCCACGGAGAGCGATATTCGCCGAGGAAGAAATTCAAGAGTGGCCAAACTAAGACCTGGCACGAGGGTATGCAAAGCCTAATCATAAGGCTCAGTCATATAGGTCACGTTAAGTTCCCTAGATGGGGACCTCAAGTCGATCGTACCCGATGAGTTGGAGACACTGATGATATGGCTGAGTGTTGTGAACAATGATGTTCAACTTAGCACTCAAAAAACATCAACCGAGACCGGTGCACGAAAATGCATGATTTTGCAACATAAACTGAACTGAACATAAGCATGATTGACCCTTGTAGAACCAATGTTGCTTTCATGGATGAGAACTGTCACTTTGAAAACGCAGGTATGATGATAAGCTAAGTAGTATTTCGGATTGATAATCGTTCTGTCGCTTGATGCATCTCAGTAGCAAAAAAAAGTGAAAAAAGCATGGGCAGCACTATTACGTCACAAATAACAAGTGTGAATATCACATTCGACCGAATGACCTCAAACTAGGAGACCGTTATCAATCAATATCTAGCTGCTCCATGTGTCAACCTGTGAAGTGGGCTGAAATGGGTACAAACCGGAGATTTACGGATTAGATGAATGGATTCACACGTTTCATGGCCATAGGTTGCAAACTACCGATTGCTACCGCTTTGAATTGGGGTGACAAAGTACTTGTGTACCTGAAACATTTGGATCCCATAATGAACTGAAACAGGTAAGTCAGAAGACAAACACTGCAAGACGGAGTCCTTCTGTGAACTGTCATCGGTCGCGTACGTATAAAACCGAACAACATAGAGAATTGTTACGTATCAATTGATCCAGTTCGTTGAATTATTTTTATCATTTTTCGAGATAAATTTGAAGAGAGAGAGAGAGCACAACAACAAAGCTAGGCTGCACGGTTTATGTTAAGGCGGATTTTGTTGCATCTCTTTTGGAACAATATCGTCAAACGGTACATCAGGTTGCACAAGAATACAACACACACACACATACGACACACTTTTAACTCGGCTCATCTGGTCCGTACCATGACTTGTCATTAACAATTCTCTTCCCAATCCTTTCACAGACCGTGGTTGACCGATGTATTGATACGTGCTCGCCTAAAATAACAGGTTCTTGTTGTTGGTGGCTTCTTCAGTTTCGATGCAGCATGAATGCGTAGGAAAATGAAAGATTCTGGACAATTTTGTTTTCTTTCAATGATGTACCTCAGCCCAGAACTAAAAAAGGAACTGGACCACTGGTGTGCCTAGCCATGAAAGCAAGATTCATGACCACGTTTCAACGGGAAAAACGCATTGTTCTGCTGCGCATACTTCTTGCCATCAGACATTATCATCATCATCATCATCATCATCATCATCATCATCATCATCATCATCATCATCATCATCATCATCATCATCATCATCATCATCATCATCATCATCATCATCATCATAATCGTCATCATCATCATCATCATCATCATCATCATCATCATCATCATCATCATCATCATAATCCCATCATCATCATCATCATCATCATCATCATCATCATCATCATCATCATCATCTTCATCATAATTTAATCCGGATCATCATCATCAGCATCATCATCATCATCATCATCATCATTATCATTACGAATCATCATCATCATCATCGTCGTCATCATCATCATCATCCGAATCATGATCATCATTCAAATCATCATCATCATCATCATCCTCCTCCTCCTCCTCCTACTCCTCCTCCTCCTCCTCCATCATCATTGCCATTATCATCGTCATCATCATCATCTTCATCATCATCATGCCATCATCAACATCATCGTCATCTTCCGAATCATTATCATCATCATCATGATCATCATCCGATCATCATCATCATCATCATCATCATCATCCGAGTCATCATCCGAATCCTCATCATCATCTATCATCATCTGAATCATCATCATCCAAATCATCATCATCATCATCATCATCATCATCATCCGCATCATCAGCATTATCATCATCATCATCATTCGAAACATCATCATCGTCAACATCATTGTCATCATCATCATCATCATCATCATCGTCATCATCGTCATCATCATCATCATCATCATTTCATCATCATCATCATCATCATCATCATCATCATCATCATCATCATCATCATCATCATCTACATCGTCCTGTTGATATGACATGTTGATCTCTATGTATATAGGATATGTTTTCAGGTCCAAGATGATTCCTTGTAGTTTTCCTCCCTTCAGGTTTGTTCAAAAACGTACGTGCATCAAAAGTAGATCACCCTTAGTCATACTGATTTTATGTCAGTGTCTGGTACCTTGGAGTATGTAAGAAAGCACCATTTCATTTATATCTGAAATCAAACATTTTCCCAGCCTCAGTTATATTGCTAAACTACCCATACAGTTACCCTATAGGTACTGGTACATATATGAATAGCAAGTTCATATCCACGTTTAAATAGTACGATCGTACTTGCTACTGTACTATTCCAATTCTGGTTTACAAACTCAAATGAGTGAATTCCTTACAGGTTCCGAGATACTGACAATTCATTTAGATGTGGGGTAGTATACCACGTTGCTCATATTGATTATCAATCTGAAAGTTATCTTGTCCTTGTGGACTATTTTTGAACTTCCTAAATGACAAATTCAGCGTGAAATACCCGGATTTGAGAACACACTTATTGAATGAAGAATGCAGTTCAGCAGTTTTTTCGTTGACTCACAAACTGGGTAATAAGTCACCTTTTTCTTGTCATATCATTTTGTGTAGAAAAGAGGAAATAAAATTATTGATTATTCAAATGAGGATTATTGTTATTGTTTTCCGTCTCGATTTCAGAATTCCGCATATGGCTCATCCTACCGTCGGAACTTTAGCTTTTTGTTTGAGGTGTAAGTTTAGTTTGGTTAGTTTTGTTTCGATCCCCAAGGAGAGTGTAGGAAGATTAGGAACCAAAAATATTGATATTGTCAATTCTGTCGCCCACGAATGAAACTTTTCTAGTCCGTTAGATGTATTGAGATGCTCTGGAAATTTTGCACATTACTTTTGGTTCAAGATAAATGTTTTATTGTGCCTTGCATTCACCGCACAACGTCATTAGAAGAAATTACCGAGCTGACTGGCTTTTCTAATTTAGCGGACCAAATAATAAACAGAATGAGGATGTTACGTTGACCAAAATCAAATAATGTGTGATAAATTTTTCAGAATTAGCACTGCGTGATTGCTGTCGTTTTGATTCACTCAAATAGCGTGAATCTGTCGTACGAATGTGGGATCTGTCTAGTTTGAAGTAAATAGAAGAGAGCGACCACAATGGTCAACGAACAAAGTGTGGTGTCCTGGTTTGGATACAGCTTGAAAGATGAGAAACACCTAACACTGTTTCTGGTCATTCGGTCCGTTTTGTCATACATATTGACCAACTCATCTGTTGACCTTCACATGCTTATCTCCAAGCTAGAGTGGCAAATGCAAGCATGGCGCGGACCAACGCGTGTCCCAACCAATGGAACCTACTCGTCTAGATGCGCGATAGCATTATCGGAAGGTATATAGTGCAGTTCACACCAGCTAAGACCAATTTTTTTTATCATTTGGGGGTGGAAATGATTTGGAGACTGGTGGTCTCATCTGAGTCCGATCAATAATTTCTGACACTCATTAACAGAAGGATAGTGTGATTGATAGTGTGAAGACGGAGATAGAATTAGAAGCAGCGCAATAACATCCAGAAAATAATCAATATGAAAACTTTGAGAATCGGTGAGGTTCAAGGTCAAGTCAAGGTCAACTCAGTAATTGTTTTATACACCGGGAGTGGCGAAGTTTCATCACTTTAAATCACATTTTTTATAAATATTTTACAGCATAAGGCATAATAACAATGAAGTTTTTAGATGTTTACTTTTCAGTAATGCAAGCACTTGCGCGATTCTTTGGAACCTTTCTCGTCATCAGCATGTAGACGTGCAAGATGTGACGAAGCAGAATTACGATATAAGGAGGCATATGCAAATAAATGTGCAAACTTTCGGCGTTTGAATGACGTGGATGATAAGTGTATGAGTGTGTTTTTGAAACAAACTTCCCACATTCTTGTAGGTGTCTGTCCATGATTGAGTGTGCAAACATTTCCTTAGTGGTGCCACTACATTTGGAAACGTGTCTTAGGGAACTTGCCACTAAGAGTAGGCTTTTTTCACTATGGAGCGGTACAAGCAGTGCGGAGCAAGCCATGATTCACAAATTTGAAATTAAACTTGGCAGAACATAAAGTACGCCTAATCGGAGTGAGAGAGAGAGGTATGGCAGTTTTCTAACTTTGCCGAATGTGTCCCGAACGTGTGATAATGACACGCCAAAAGTATTTATCAGTGTTGGTGTCCAAATGTGTACTTGTTTGGCGGAACGGGAAGAAGACCGCTCTGTGCGATCTATTCAATGAGGAAGAGACAAATATTCTTTCCTGCGGGTGTGGGTGAGTAAGTGAGTGATGCAAAAAACAGGTACACTTTCTGTAATCAATTTTTGTTTTCTTCTCTTCAATCGCATGAATTCCGATGCGCTAGTTGCGCTAGTTGCCAAATTCAGTGACCCGTTAGATTTACCAGTCAATTAGAATGACCGCACTGTTTTCGAGGGGATATAATTTGTTTTTATAAAACTCCCCAGTTTGGAATTCGACATTCACCATACGTCCGGTGTTTTTCGTCATCGTAATTAAACTAAAAATTAATAATTTCGTCATTACATTGCGTGATCGCTATCTAATTACATTGGATGATCATGTGACATAGCATATCTAATTATGTTATGTTGAAGCTAAAGTTTGATGCTCAAAAACAATCAATTAATATATCCAATATGCTATCACGACAAAGCAATATGTACGTAACTGCCGTCGAACTTTCTAACTAGGAACTACGCATCCGTTTCAGAACCTGAGCAGGATGTACGAATAGTAGAATTTTATTGTATTGATTTATCTGCTCCGTATGACGGTATCAGTGTTGCTTAATTGTGAAGTAATTCCATAGTTTATCTCGAGTTATTAAGGTATGGTATAAGTTTAAGACACGTTGTGGTACAATGAATGATGTTTTCCGACACAATATGTACTCATCAAAAGTTTTACATTAACCGGATTTCTATATCACCACATGGGAGAATGTAGAGACTTATAGGGGTAATATACGCCTTGGATTGCCAAAGACCGAAGAATTACGAGAGCCGAGTAAACTGTTTCCGGATGCACGAAAGGCTTTATGCATTCCACAAACATGAGCATTCTGTTTTATCCAACTATTCGCCACCATCACCATTCATGCGAGCACGGTTTTTCATTCGCTCAAACCACTTGATGAAACAGCTCTACAAAATATCGACCAGTCGGATGGAGGCCTCCACTGAAGCTGTTGGTGATTTGTTTGGGATTCTACGCATCATGCGCTGGACATTTGGGAACACAAATAGTGACACTGAGTCAGGTCTGGGCTGTAGGATGAGTGAACAACCTCCGGAATGCATTCTCTAGTCAAAAAAGCGACGACGTCGTGAGAACTGTATGCAGTTGTGCTGTTCTGGTGAAGCAAGGACCCTTGTGCTCGAGCGCTTGGAAGATACTTGGTAACAGCTTTCAGTACTTTCGACAGATACTGGATGGTGTACCGGTCTCCGGTGACTTTGCTTTGCTGTACGGGCGGTACAGTAGCCACATGACCATTTTTGGCTATGAATACCGCCAACATCTGGGATGCCACACTTCGCTCACATTGGAATTTCCGAGGGGGCGCTCCATTGAGCCAATTGTTGCTTGGTCTATGGGTTGAAACTTTACGCCCAGACTTCATCACCATTGATGATCTACCAAACTGCATTGGAACGTCCACCAGCAAACTAGAAACGTATGCTGCAGCACCATTTTATCTATATCTGCTTTCTGTTCCTCATTGAATTGAAGGGGTACAGAACGTGCACAAACGTAAATGAAGCCGAGTTTCCCATGTAGGACAGTGCGAATTGATGCGGACCAGATTCCAATGGATTTTGGCAGCAGTGCCGTTATCTCTCGCGCATCCTCCTCCACCATCACTTGTACGGCAGTAATGTTGTTCACTGTGGTGGCCTTCTCAGGTTGTCTATGTCGTCCGTGTCTCATCATCACCAATGCACCGTCTGTCAAGCCTGATTTCCGAAAACCACTCAAATACAATACTTCTTGAACGTGTGACTTTGACCAAAGGCAAGTGGTAAACGGTGAACACTCTGTTGCTGCTGCTGCTGCTGCTGCTGCTGCTGCTAGCACTGCTACTATTACTACTACTACTACTACTACTGCTACTACTACTACTTTAAACCACATTTGTAGTCGTATAAAATCATCGCGCGCCAGTGACATCAACTGAATTCCATCCTTACAGTCTGAGTACGGAGACCCTTGTATGATTAGTGACCTGTACTCTCGGTTAAGTTGTGATACTTGGTCCTTTGTGTGTGAGTTGCAATCACTGAACAATCGATTTCCAATACGAGATTACAGTTCACGTTTTCCTTGGCCCCGGTCATCTATCTGCATGCACCTCGCACTCGTCGTGTACACTGCATACGACGGGAAAGCTTTCGCTCAGCTCCCTTATGTACTTCTTTAACCCAACTCAGCCATCTGCTGAATGATAAAGGAACTGTTAATCGGTTGGAACGATCTGCACACTAAATAATTCCTATTGCAGTCTTACCGTATGGCCAATCTTAGTTGAAATGCGTTTATTCATTCATATCTAGATCAAACTGAACATGAACACCAATTATGTGAAAGCGCCAGCGGAAAGCCAACAAACAGTCTAAGTTGGCCGACCCGTCCTACGTAAGTATAGACTTGATCTGTGTGTGTGTAATGTTGTGTTTTCGAAATCCGCCAGACCGTGAAACCGCTCTATGTCTACTGGCTACTGATATCATTTTCCTTATATTATTCGCATAACCTGTTGCATCCACACCATATTACTGGTCATCTTCACTCTTTTAAGAGAAACTGTCCCATTCGTTCGGAGAAACAACACCCTTCTTGCCCTATAACATGCCCAATCTTTAATGGGATACGCAGCTAGCTCTGGTGCTCAAAATCGTTCCACTGAACCAAATTGAGATAAGAGCAGTCCTT